CTAATCAATTTTAATATAATTTAAAAAGATATTAAAAACATAAAAAATTCTAAGATATGTATTAAAGCCGATTAATCTAGAAATATTTACAAAACTGAACCCTCGAACTATCACAAACTCCCCGTAAATAAAATCACTATTACTTATAAAAAAGGCAACATGCAAATTCAAAGTTTCACCCCATGAAAAATTATTACCTGTAGAACAACATTTCCGCCTGGAAAAACACGATTTCAAAACCCATGCCAAATTCACTATAATTGAGAGAATAGAAAATTCCAGAGCAGATAACATTAGAAAGATTTTAGAAGGCCATGAAAATAAGTGGATACAACGTCTAAAAGCACAATATCCAGCCGGGCTAAACCATAAATTTAACAATATATATATAGTACTAATATATAACTCAACAAATCAAAACCTATCCACATTTCTCACCCACACAAGACAGACATGCTTACGGAGGTGTTGAGGCCTCACAATTATACACACACGCACACGAATATACACATATCATACTCACTCACTCCCTAATGAGCCAAATGATAACACACACCCACAGCAATACACACGCTTACACATATCATACTCACTCACTCCCTAAGAACCAAATAACACACACACAAGCACTAAACAGACACATCCCCTCTCCAGGACCAATAAAACTCTCAAAATGACCAAGGGAATTCAGGGAAGCATAGATCTATCCAGCTCTTATCTCATTCAAAAGCTTACATCTTCTAGCATTACATGTTAATTTCATTTTACTGTAGGTGTTTTATTGGATTCTTTTAATTGAGTGTAGTGCTAAGAGGGAGGTCTTTAGGTTAGAAAACGTTTTATTTAATTACAATTTAAAAGAAGTTTAGGTTAAAATTCATTTTATTTAACTACAATTTTAATTACAACTTTAAAATATTTTCATTGTTCGTTTTAATAGACTATATTTCATTTAATAGAAGTAAATGTATTAGAATCACTTACAGTAAGTAAAATTATTTTTCCATATCAAGTATATGTATATTACGATTTTTAAAATTTTATATTTAAATATTATTTAAGTAAAATTCATGTCACTTACGGCAAAAATAGCTAATTCATTTCTCTGATTTAGTTATATTTTTTTTTTTTTTTTTATAAATAAACTTAGTAATATATAGTTTCACATGTATGTACAAAGGACATGGGTCATTCAATGGCCTACATCTAGCTTTTCGTCATAATTTCATTTTTATCTAGGTGATTTATTGGATTCATTTAAGTGCCGGTAGTACTTTTTGAGAGGTGTTTAGGTTAGAATACGTTTTATTTAACTACAATTTTCAAAGATGTTTAGGTTAGAATTCGTTTTAACTACAATTTTAAATACAACTTTAAAATATTTTCACTGTTATTTTAATAGACTATTTTTTAAAGAAAAACAAGTAAATGTAATAGAATTACTTACAGTATATAAAATTTTTTTTCATGTTAAATATAAGTATGTATATTACCTGATCGCTCTTTTTAAATTTATTTTTAAATATTATTTAAAGAAAATTTTTGACAATGACGGCATAAAATAGCTATTTCATTTCTCTGATTCAGTAAATTTTTATTTTTTATAAACTTAGTAATATATAGTTTCTCATGTATGCACAAAGGACATGGGTCATTTAATGACCTACATATTCTAGCTTTTCTTATTAACTTCCATTTTACTGTAGGTGTTTTATTTTATTCTTTTAGGTGCCAGAAGTATTTCGATAGAGTTGTTTGACTTTTATATTTATTTATCCTAAATGAACTTTGATGTTGGTTGAATCTTTTTTTGAACTCAAGGCTAGTGCAACCTATATATATATATATTTATGTTTTCCGGACTTTCAATCGAAGAGATATTGCATTGGTATACTAATGATTCTGTGTGGCATTTATTTTGTAGAGGGCAATTATGAGGGTTTCTACAGTTACATAATTTTTTATTTTCATCAGTTTTTATTTTTATTTTTCCATTGTCTAAATTTTTTTGGTTTTGGTATAAGTGTTTATTTAAGATATTAGCATTATGGTTCTTAATAATTTTTTCTAAGTTTTCCTCTACAGCTGTAACTCAATTTTAGTGTGTTTTTATTGAAAATAGTGCTTAGTTTACTTTCACTAGGAAAATGCTTAACTATTAATGCGAGGAATTTATGTCCTAATTTGTTCTTTACCATTTGGTTGTATGGGGGCGTATACCAAATTATTTTTCTACATCTGTTTTTTCTGTGCTTTCCATTTTCATATTTTATATAAGTTAGTTTTGGGTTTTTGTATCCACTCTCTTTTAGAGCCGTATTATAGGAATTGATATGCTCATCGAAAATCTTGTCATTTGCTGAATTTGTACTAATTCGTTTACTGATAGATAACGGTATATGTTTAATTATAGATGGGGGGATTTTGATTTAGGGTGTATATATAAAGAATTGGTGTTGGTTTTTTTATAAGGTGTGTATGTATTATTATACCTTATAAAAAACCCAACACCCATCAAAATACAGACGCAGACACCCCTGTCTAGTGGAAGTGGATTTATCTGTAACCTTGGAAACGTGAATTATGATTTTAGCTGTGTCTTTAAAACCCAGTAATTTTAAAAGTTAAAAAAATGGAAATGAAATGGAACTAATGTCTTTAATTTAATTACAAAATTAAATTCGGGGCTTTTAGCTTCCATTTTTGAAACATGGTTAGAACTTTGTAGCAAAAAAAATATATTTTAAATCAATTATATATATATATATATATATATATATATATATATATATATACTGACGTCGAATTCGACGTATGAGAGTCAAGCAGATCGGTTCCCAGGAAACCGACAGCCCGACAACAGCACATGAGATTTGATTATAGTGGTGAAGGTTTCGTGCAGAACCATCAACAATTTTTGAAGGGCCGAATACAGAGACCTGGTGCACTAACTGCCACAAGGTCCCCAAACGACCATCCGCATGTTTTGAATCCAGAGACCAGTTGCCATCCATGTCCTGCTATTCCGATAGCTGGAGGGAGAAGAAGAGGATTCACACCTTTCCCAAGGGCATTAGCACGTAAGTGAATGTAATGGATTCGATTGGAGTTCGAACTCGGCTCTCTGATTCCTCAATCCATTACTTCACCGTGCCTCCTAATATATGGTGTTTATATATATATATATATATATATATATATATATATATATATATATGGGATAAACCATATATTGCTTACCATATATATATGCTAAGCAAGATGTAAGCGCTATCAGAGTGGCAAGCAAGATCTCTCTCTCTCTCTCTCTCTCTCTCACACACACACGCACATACACATCTGCTAAGTATTATGATATCTGCAAATAATCTCAAAACTAAGTCGGGTAGGTAAGGATAAAGAAGCACACTTGTTTTTTTTTTAAATCATTTTACCCCGGATCAAAGCGATAAAGCCACTTAAATTTTTGAAGATCGTAGTTGACAGGAAAGAAAAGTGTGAAAGAATAGAAATTACAGTTAAATTTAACAATTTCAATTCATGTATATTGAAAGATAAGAGCGAATATTTACACATTAGTTTATATAACGTCTTATATAGATTATTATCCAGAGACAAACACACACATACACGTGTGTGTATTTGAAAAGCCAGAAATATGTAAAAAAAAAAAAATGAATAGATTTAGATAGATAAGTACCACCTACCCATAGTTATGTGTTAATTCTCATTACCTTTCAACGAGATTGAAACGTATCAAACAAGATTGAAGCTTAAAAAATGACTTGTACGACAGACAACAAACTAGACAGCATTAACGCATTCTGACAACTCATCAGACATTATAGTCTCTGTATCATAGCATTTCGTCTGTATTTTTTGCCAACGCATTCAACATTTATCAACACGACTGAGCGCTTTCTCATTATTTCTTTGCAATTCATTTGTCATCAATCTCTTTATCAGTCTCCATCTACACATAACTCGCGATTTTTTTATGGAAGCATTGTATAAATGATAACATTAATGAAAATGAGAAAAAAATCTTCACAGATTAAATGCTCTTTATATAAATAAAATTTGTGTGCGTCAAATGGATTATTACGGAAAACACTTAAAGACTGCATTTATTTTGTATTTAAAAGAAAACATTTTGTTTTGACTGCTTCTCTTGTCTACACTTAACGACGAGCTATCAAGCAGTTTCTTCAATCTCTTTTTCTGAGTCATTAGATATCACATGCAGTAGACACGTACTCGTGCGTGAACAACCACTCACATACAGGCGCACACCTAATGATAAAGACGCACACACAAAGGTAAAAAGGGAAGCACTTATGAAATTGCCACCAAAACTAAATCAGCTATAAACTGATTAATGAAAGAACGTAGTATTGGATGACCAAATGTAATTTATAACTTATAAAAATGAATGTCTTGTTCTTTTAACGTTCTCCTTTTCACTACAATAATGAAAGTACGTTTATTTTGCAAGTTCCAACTAAGAAGACTTATAAAGCGGTACTTGCTTAATACTTGAAACTTTAAACCTGGCATCAATAATCTTTATGGAAGTGAACCAAAGTGAATGACCTAAAAATCGGCAAAACCAGTCGCGTCCCTGAAAAAAGAAAAAGAAAAGCCAGAATTTATATCAAGAAAATCTGTGCACCTCCTTCCAGAATTGGTTTCGATGCATCAAATACATTTGAAGGCATTGAAGAAAAAAAAAAAACAGCAAATAATTGTCTGCAGTAGATTTTTGTTTTTAGTTTAGCGGATAAAATGTCTTAACAGAATTTTCTTATAAGTAAGAGCTTTTGCAATATTGTTCGGGTTACTCAAGATGCCAATATTACCGCAGGCAAAAATCATTGCAGATTACCTGTGCATTCATCTAGAGAAAAAGACAAAACTGTTGCTTGCGATAGAATATTCGTTTGAAGTTAGAAATCGATACTGGTATTCGTCAATCAGTGGTAGTTTACATAGAGATTGTCTCAGGTAATGAGGAAGAAAGAATTTTTATGAGATAAAATGAGAAGAAAAGAATTCACAAGATGAGAAAGGTTTCTCAGTGAAATAAATGTTGTGACAACCAGTGGCGCCTCCTGGGGAGGAGAAACTGTCATGGCCACAGGCAGAAGGAAGAACTGATTATGAAGATGAAAGAGAACAATGAGAAAATAATTGGGAGGAGAATGTGGAGGAAATAAGGGACAAATTCCTTTTTCTGAAAGAAGCACAATTATACGAATACAAAAAGGAAGCCTAGAACTAGAAAGGTAAACGACAGAATGCATAGATATTCTAATAAGAATGAAGATCAGCAGATACTAAAAACAATAATAGTCTATGGTCAAGAAACGATTTCTGCGATACCAATGCCACAACAGATATTAATCGATACATAATTATTTATTAAGCTAAGTTTAGTCGAGAATATCAGTTGCTTAATCAGTAAGGATTGAACCCATTGCATTAGCAACAAGTTACAGAAGGTGATCCGATGTAATAAAAAATTGAACGAAATAAAGAAGAAAAATAATGCGGGGAAAAAGTAAGCAAAAGACGTAATAATAGAAACAAATATATAAAAACAAAAGAAAAAGAGAAGAGGTAAGCGTGGAAATTAATACGAAAACAAAAACATCAGCAGCGGTAGAAGCATTTTTTAAGTCAGCATTACAAAAAAACAGAAGCAAATAATACGCTTGCAAGCAAAAAGTTTTAAAAAATCTAATGGTTAAGTAAAGTCTTTGATGCCGCAAGATATTCCGGTGGTTGGATACGAATAATTTATACATTTTTTTGCTCCTTGCAGGGATAAGCGTACGTGCTTTTGAACCAACTTAGATTCACCTCAATTATATCCCCAAGTCATTTTACTCTGAATAAAACTTCTTGTTTGCGTTCACGCGCAATTTTATTTATTTTTTTCTCTTTCCTTCAACAAATGTATCCGTGTTTTCCTACAAGTATAAGTGCGTATATATAATAAAATCAATAAGTAGCAACTAAAAAACAAATAAGCCGGTTTGAGCAGCCACTAAGAAAATCAGAAAAACCTACCTAAACTGTGAAAACAAACAGTACCCAGTACATCCCAGAAAATTCAAAATAGAAAAACAATCTAGAAATGAACGGGTATACAACTTCACATGCAACCACTATTTCAGGCGCAAAGCGAACTTCAATCGTCTGCGCGTAAAACTATGAGTGAAAGTGAAATTCTGTGTCTCTTCGGTTTTGGTCTGTGTGTGTGCTTTGGCATGCTTACGGTAATTATTAAAATAAGTGTGTGTGTGAATTGTTTATCAGATCGTTTGCGATGAAAAACAAAATATTAAAATTAAAAAAAAAATAATTATGTAAAAAAATGCATTGTTTTTCGGCCAAGAAAACAGTTTTTTCACGTGAATATCGTAAAAATATCCAGCATCCCGTATAATAAGAGTGAGTGGGCCGAGTGCTGTAGGCAAAAGACATCTGACTAGAAAATCAGGCCTAGTTTGTTGGGATTAAATTTTAAGTCACTTGAAGGCGACTTCCAACTCTTTGTCAAGTCCACTGAGTCATATGTCCTTGGAGTTCAATACCTGGCCACAGCAGAGGTGAACAAAAATCTGGAGAATTGAGATACCAAAGGGAAATAACTGAAACTGATATATCCAGAAAAGGCATGACACGTGGAATTAGAACAATCTATCCCAGTGTACGAAATAAAGGGTTCTTTTCGAAATTCCAACGTATATCACCTGAAGAAGGCCGGAGTGTACAACGGCCAGAACGTCGTAAATATGAGAATAAAGATGATTACAGCAGTCCGAACAATGTAAATAGTGTAAATAGTTACAATACTTCATCACGGAAACATTCATATGTATGATTCTATTAAACTTCATAATCTTTATACTGTAAATCAATCAAATTGTACGTGTGTTACTTTAAATAATTCTGTTTTAGAACTTGACGATGGCTACTTATTCATAGAAACTTTTATTTCGTCGTTTCTTATAAGCTTCATCATACATTATTTTCTTTATGCAACTAATGAAAACTAAGATTTCAAAAGGAAATTTTCTGACGAATTATTTAAACTTCACCAGTATTTTGTTTAAGTGTTGATTTTCTTTTCGATAATAAGAACAGTTGTTCATTTATCAGAGAGTTTTCATTTCGTGGTCACTTCATTGTTTGACTGCTGATTCCCATGACGTTTGCAGAAGAAATATCGATAAGCACAGAACTAATAAAAAAAGACTAAATTTCGCAAAGAAACAAAGATAAAAATGCTTTTAAAGCAATCCTCAAGGGACGATAACATTTGGCACATAATACGAAACGTCATGTTGATTACAATTTGTCTACACATTTATATGAATGTTTGTTATTAGCAATTTTTACATCTGGGCGGTAATTTCAGTCAGTAACTTTTTTCGTAAGCAATCTGGTTAGGTTAATGATCAGAAAGTCCTCGGAGATATTTTTTGGGGCGCTTATGGGAGATTGACAAGAATGGGAAAACAGATGAAATTCATACCGATTAAGAAGCAAGAAATTAACAAATGCCCTTGAGGCTTGGCTAATTAGAAACGCTTGCCAAACTGATCGAAAGAGTTGGCGCCATTTTTCTGTGATCAATCCTTGTGACGAATTTATGTGGCATTTCGTCAGCATTCCATCAGACCACAGAATATTGGTTTAAATTGTCCATGCTTTCGGCCCTTCTTTATAACTTTAACAATTTAGTTTTGAATTGACGAATGACAAGAACAGCAGTCTGTAATTTTTAGATTGTCGTCATGGCTCAATAGACAAAAATTTCGTAATATTTCCTTCTCCAAAGGTTTTGTTCATCCGTTCAAGGCATTCGATAATACATAATGTTCCAAATCGGCATTTTTGCCTTTAAAAGTCAAGCCATGAAAGAGAGTTAAAAAAAGATTATACATTTGGAAGGATGAGATAAGAAATGTTGAAATGTTTAAAGAGCTCTTCTAATAATTCTCCATAGATGAACTCAGAGATTTAATGGCTGCTGGTTGACTGTTGATAATGTCAAAATTTACTTAAAGTGCGAAGTGATTTGTTTTCATAATGAGAAAATAAAAATCAATAATCTAAACCATTTCCGTGAAAAAGACATATTCACGTAAGCAGCTCAGGATGTCCAACTTAAAAGAAGGAAAGATTTAGCGAGAGATGATCTGTCGACCTAATAAAAGAACCACAGTTTTTCGGGAATTTTAACACTGAATTGTTGTAGAAGCAGATGGATAATCTAATTATACAAACATTTTCCCAATCGACTATAGAAGCAGGATGAGTTTGTTTTCTTACCAATTATATTTCGTTGGTATACTTATTGGCAGTGTTACGGACCCTCATCTAAGACCCTCCTAAAGTCTATATCCATGCTTATATTTTAGAAGCATTCTAAATAAAAGGTCAGTACTCTCAGAAAATGTAACGATAGAAAAATGAGGGATAAAGTAAAATTAAATGTTGACAGATTTTAACCAAATTGGTATGCATATGAGTAAAGACTGTACATTTTTATTTCTCTCTTAATCACGTACGACGTGATTTAACTGGATGAAATTCAGTTGACGAAATAGAGAAAGGTGAGAGAAGGTGTTAGTGACCTCTTTTCGCTCCCACAGGAAAAAGGTTCATATTTGGAGATAAAGAATCACGTGATGAAACAAAGACACGAAAAAAAAAAAAAAAAAAAAGAAAGAAAGAAAGAAAGAAAGAAAGAAAGAACAATAAACAATAAAAAGTCTCGCTCCGGCTTTCGAGTCAAGCAGACGGGTTCGCGATACATGAGATAACTCGCTATAAATTCGTGTATGCAAAAGGAAGAGAAATCCAATATGATTTCAGAGCTCAAACATCTTTAACGAGGTTTACCCAGAAAATAAAGTAAACTTCGGCATGAGAGGAGAGAAGTTGTCAGAACATGAAGAGAAATATACATTATACTGAGAACCACGAAACGACAGCTTCGATTGATTCTTTACTAAAGCCCCTAGACCAGAAACGAGAAAAAGAAAGAAGAAAAAGACATCAAAAGAAACGAAAAAAAGAAAAAGGGTAAAGACCTCAAAAAGAGACACTTGCGCGAAAAGAAAAAGAAAGATAGAAAGATAAAAAAGGGAAGAAGAGAAAAGAAAAGAAAAGAAACAGAGACATTAATCAGAAGAAGATAAAAAGAAAACCAACTTTGATAACAATCAGTTAAGTTATTGTTTCTCTTACATGTTTATACTTTGCTCAATGCATTTTGTCATGTATATTTGCATGTAAGCCTGTCCTAAGATTGTCTATTAATCAACTAGTTACTTTTCTGAGAGGATAGATCCTCCCCTTCCATTATTAGTCCCACATTTCTTTTTGACTTATAGTTTTTGTTTCGCGATATATTTCTTGTTGTTTTCCTATTGTAATAAATTTATTTAATTGGTAACTCTATTTGTCACCCGCTGTGTGCATTCGTTAAGCAATTCCAGCCCGCTCTACCGTATCTGATCAATCGGAAAGAGACCCTTAGGGAAGGAAATTTTTCGAAATAATTGCATACATGTTAAAAATAATCCTCCTCTATCTCCGCTATTGATCCGGTTAGAGGATAGAGGGTGGGGTCGTAACAGTAGGCATCCCTGTTTATTAAAAACTGACACTGATATCTACCAGCCTTGCAATCGAAAATCTTAAACAAAATTTACTCTATTTACATTGTTCAGACTATTGTCATATTCACAACGTTTCGGCCATTCTTCAGGTGACATAAGCTGGAATTTCGAACCGAACCCCTTATTTCGTCTACTGGGGTAGATTGTAGATGACTTTTCTTAATATCTGTTACGGTTATTTCTGGTTTTAGTAACACAACTCTCCAAGTTTGTTGTTTACCACTACTTTGGCCAGATATTGAACTCGCAACTATTTGGGTCAAGTCACTGTATAAGAATATGACAATGAAGATGACAATAGTCCGGACAATGTAAGTAGTGTAAATAGTTACAACGACTCATTTCAAAAATATAGAAAGATATTAAAAATGTACTCTCTCAAACTGTATTTTTGTTTCTTAGATTAAAACTTCATGGCCGGAGAAACATTCTCTTTCGAACCAATAGATATTAATTTCAGTTTTCTCAAACACGTGCAACTGTTAAATATAAGTTTTATAGTAAGAAGTAATGTTGGATTAAAAATCTATTAACTAAAATTTTTTCGCCAATGTTCAAAAGAAGACTAAAAAAAGATTCTAATAAAGAAACCCTTTGAATGTTGATGGTAAACTTGAATGTTTTTTATTGTTAAATCTCCAATAATTTTGAAGTGATTACTTTGTTGTACATTTAATTCTTCCTGATAGGCAAAAAAAACTGCATGAAACAAGATTGCATAATTTGGCATTTCCCTCCGTTCTAGCATTTTATACATTTGTAACGTTAGTGGATTTTTGTTTTCTTGAGTGCTTATAGTACAAAGAGTGATTTGATTTAAGAATAAAAGAATGAAATTCATATAAGTTATATTCTGACTAGAGACTTATCAATTTTGTTTTATCTTTAATCATGCTAAGACGTACAAGCATAATCACACACGGTATATTCCCACATAAAAAGAAAGAATAAAGAAACAGCGTATATATTATTTTAATTCGACCATATTCCTATGAGGACAAGAGAAAAAAAATAACTGGTTGTTTTTATAACAATGTGAAATAGAAACAAAAATTAAATGTGGTACGAATAGAATTTTCATCTCGTGATTCAGCTGTGGAATTGTAAAACCATGATCTGAAGCGGACAAAACTGGAAAGAGTTTTACAATTGCATATTAAGATTATTGTTTCATTATCGTAAATAATAGAAACCAATTTAATGAAACACATAATGTTTATTTAGACAATTCATTTTCGCGCATGTTAATTTCATCTTGTTTAAATAGGGTCATTGTATCTGGTGTCGCTATTAGGCAAACATAAACAAGGACAGTAGATGTTTCAAACGTGGAGAATAAAAATTCATCTCTGTGCATATATCATTGCAGATTCAAAATGCAAGTATACATGACATGCTTGTAAACATCTGCCACGATATAATTAACTTTTTTTACACACATCGTAGTTGTCGCTACTGAAACACATTACCCACCGTGTGAATGTGCTCTCATCTTCTATTTGATTTCCGTAAACATTCATCAAAATCCGATGAATGTCAATGAGAGAAATGTGTACTACATTGCGGAAATTTAATGACAAATTCTAAAATCGGTAGCAGTAGTAATTTACTTTCTTTACTTCAGCACGGATCTCTGATAAGATCTGAAACTGGTCTTCGCTAGTGATGTTATTTCTTGTAACTGTCTATGATTCTGTTTATACTTATGATGGTACTTTACATTAAGAATATTAAAATGTATGGGAGCCCTGAATGCCATTCCTTCGCATTATGGATATATGTCATTTAAAATACAGATATGCTGATATGTATTTAATTACCAAATGTTTGTTAAATCTACGGAATATCTAAAAATAATTAAAATGTGATGTTCATTTTTAATCATCTCATCCAAGCAAGGCAATAAAGCCACTAAGACACAAGGGGTTACTAAGTATGAATCAATGCAAGAAAAAGAGAAAAATTAAGGGGAGAACAACAGAAAAGAGGAATTAAGAAGACAAAGATAACGATTAACATTGCATTTAAATTTTTGAAGATCAAATTTGGTGGAAAAAGCAAGAATCCGGAAGAGAATTCCATAAGCAGGAAGTGCGAGAAAAGAAACTGCTAGCATAGAACTTGCGGTTACATCTAGCAATTTCATCTGTAAAATGATGAAACTTAGCTACCAATTTAATAATGCGCTTAAATTCATAAAGTCTAGGTGGCTAAGAGGAAATCTCACCAGACCAATTATCATTGAAATATTTATAGAAATAGCACAGGAAAGCAGCGCAAACGTGATTTAAAAACGTGTACGGTAGAGTCTAGCGAGAGAAAATGCCTAGAATAACGTAGTGAACCAACTTTCTTAGCAGTAAACCAAGCAATTGATTTAATATAATTTTTCCTCTTCATGTCAACGAAAAACATTATCCCGAGAAGGTACAATCAGTCACTCTCCTAGAAGTTAGCATTAGACATGCTGAGGGAAGACAAAAATGTTTTGTTTTGGAGGTATTAAAAAAGTTATTCAATGCCCCAGTTAACAATCAGACTTACTATTAAGACAAGAGTAAATAATTTTGTCATAAGCATAGATACCAAGTTGAGAATAAGGTAAGTAACAAGGGTTCGGGGTACCCTAATTCTGTCCCTTAGTCGAGACTCCATTTTCGGGTGTAGTTTTAAGTCATACCAAAGACCTACCCTTCACCGAAAAAATAATAATAAAAAATAAAAATAAAAATAAAAATAAAAATTATCAACCACAACTTCGTTTCATTTCCTTACTGACTGCCAGTCATTTGATCTTTTAAACCATAACCATCAAGAGGTTTCTTCTGCTGCCATTGTTATTGAGGGAATAGCCTTGTTTTTTGTTACACCTTATTTTGGCAACATCTTACATAGTGACCTCGTAAGCAAAGCCTCTGCATTCGATATCAATTGGCTCGCACTGTGCTCGCCACCCACACCTTTTGCATTCCTCTACAAATCTGTAAATTATTTTTAAGTTTCCTTTCGTGGGCTTCGTCCGTATTTTCTTTCTAAGGTACTGTTAATTCTAACATGGTGACTTGCTTGGTCTTTTCAGAATAAATTATCATGTCTGGACGAAGCTTAGTCTCAATACGTGTTGGAGGGATCCGTTCTTCTGGTAGAACGGATAAAGTGGAAACTCACACTTTCCCCACGTGTAGAGGTTTGCCGGGCTGTGTAATGTATCATACACTTCATACGTCAGGAAATTTGTATTACTGGGATTAGTATGCCAAAGATTCATCCAGGGTAGGATCCGTATCTTTTAAATTATCATTGAATATTTTACCCAAACACTTAACAGGTTTTTCTTTTAATGACTGTATAATGGTTTCTGCAATCTTGAAACGGATCTTTTCTATCACAATCCCTCTCTGCAGTACTAATGACCTCGATTTTGTCGGTTTAAACTTCATTGTAGTCCAAGTCATTATCTTTTCCTCTTCCTATGTTTGCTGTAAGTTTGTCCTTCTACAATTTATCAATTTCTATGAAAAATGTTTACTAAGCTGAGTTTGGTAGAAGGTCACAAATTGGCGAATCTAATGAGAATCTCAGTATAAAAAGGATAATCTGCTAGACGGGGGGGGGCGCTCTTCAATGCCTACCGACTTCCTAGATTTGGGGATGTTTTTCTAAACTTCAAGGCTGAACAAACTTAACTGAATGATTTTTGTATTTATTTTAGAAAAATATTTGAAAATAGATAAAAATATTTCACTTTAATTCATTGATTGAAGACGACAAATAAAAAATTAATTTCTGTGATCCCTGAAATCCATAACTAAAATATAGTATCAACGTACAATTCTCATAGATAGAAATCTTTGAGAATGGTTAGATTCATACAAGTGATGCTCGGAGCATTCGTATATTTGACCCTCCGTTATGACTGTGGTAATTGTCACATCAGTAGCGAGGAATTTTCAAACATACTATTGAAATTATTGCAGAATTATCAATTAGTTCTTACTTAAAATTTCAAATAAGCAAAATAGTTTTAACTCTATTTTCAGAATGATCTTTTACAACAATACAGGTGATTTCTCTTCAACTGCTTTTGTTTATCACATTTGAATCAATAAACAAGAAGGCTATTGGGATTTATGGATATGATTGTACCACAATTATTAAAGGCATAATTTTATTCATGCCCTTGTGATTTACGCAAATATTATGACTTATAGTTACTAAACATAAGTTTTCAGAAATCTACTCGATTAATCATGAAAATTGCCAAATTTTAACGAAAACCATTCGTCTGTGGTGTTCACACATCCCATGGTACCATCAGTGCGTTAAAGTATTTCTCTTTGTGTGAAGCATATATATTCAAATAAGACGCCTCTTCAAATGTTTTTCTCGTGAAGTAAACAATAAGCCTAGTCGTTGGTGAGGTTTTCATGCAATGCTAATTACAATAAAGGCTACATAGAAAGAAAGATTTTCTACTAAGAGAATAAAATAGACATTTTATATAAAAAAACTACACCGATAAAAGTCTGTAATCTTCAAGTATGTTAGTAGAATAAAAATCTGCTTTATACCAGTGTTGATTAGATGAAATCCGATATATCTAAATCAATATTATATACATGCATGGAAGTGCTCACATGTACTGGATATTCAGGATAACTAAACTCAAGGATGGTAAAATGAAATCTAAATAATTATAGTACAAGAGAAGTAAAGAGAAGGGGAAACTTTAGTGGGGAAATTATTGATGGTCGTCAAGACTTGGTGATGAAGGAGGGATGCGTATATGGACGGAAGCAAATGGGAAATTGGTAAGTCTATAAAAAGAAAGGAGAAGAAGTTAGATGTTTATTTATCAGTTCTTTTTCTTGTTAAGGAATAATAGTTCAATTGAGTTTAGTCCGGACTGGGAAGGAACAGAAATTCTCAGGTGAATGTCCACCTATAACAGATCATGTTGGTTCAATGGGAGTTTAGGTAAGCTCAAATATCCTGCGGTGACGGCATTTAAAAATTAATTCGTTCCTTTGGTTTAAGAGAATCTTTTGGTTTCCAAGTTTAATAATTTTAATTTTCTCCTGTTCAATATATTATTTGTGCAGGAATAACTAATTTTGACTGTTTTGTGTTAAAGACTTTCGTTAGGGTTTGGTTATTTTCGAAATGTTTATTTATTAGTTTCAGGAACTCTTGACCAATGTTAACTTTTGATAACCTACAGAAGGTGGGGTGGGGTGGGGGGTTTCGAACCCTATTATATTTCTTTTTCTATTTCTCCGCTTAGTATTATTCTTATCTGCATTAGTGTTACTTGTGGTGTTTATGTATGAAAGTTTATTCTCAAATCCATTTTTGGAGTACCTTCTTGTAGAGTCCTTTGTTTTTATTAAAGATATTTTTTTATTGGAAGATAGTTTACTAATTCTAGTACCAACAGTGATGGGTATCTACTTTAAGATATTATTAGGGTGGTTTGAGTCTACATTGATGTAGATCGAAGTTTCATGATCTTTATGGTAAGGTTCAAAACTTACCATAAAGACCAAGTGTTGGTGTTTAGATCAAAGGTGATATCTAAATAATCCACAGTTTTTAGGTTAGATGACATCTCTATCTTGAACCCCAGGAACTTAAAAGCTCTAATAATTTTCTTCTACAGTTAATGGAGCATTGCTATTAGGGATATAAATCAGCCCATCTTCTCAATATAGACCTATCTGCTTTGGATCTATGATTCTACTAAGGATGTCTAGAATATATATATATATATATATATATATATATAAAGTTAGAGAGAGAGAGAAAGATATAATCTTTGATATCTGCTAAGTGTGTGTATCTTTATGTTAGTTTGTATGTATGTCGATTTACCAGTATAAAACCAGTTCAGATTGATGACAGAAAAAAAAAGTAGTAGCGATTGAGTTTGTAAATATTATATGAGAGAATTAAATAGAAAGAAAGAGAAGACGAGAAGAGAAATCGGAAATGTAGCAAAAGAAAATGGGAATCGATTGGATAAAAGAAAAACACCTTTAAACTGCGACATAAACAAACAAGAGAAATGATATGAAAAGAAAATCAGGAAGAAGAGGAAGTAAAGAGAAGAACGTAATTGGGAACTGTATATGAAAAAAGAACTGTGACGGTTACACACCTGGCCCAGGGTCGGATCCTTTGGTTACGGCGCCAACGGTGACGTCGCTCCTCCTGATCGCTCCTCCTGGGTCCAAGCGTGCCGCTCCAACCCCTTGGTCAGATGATCACCAGCCTCGCCTTTCCCGACTCGCTTCCAATACCTGGTCACTAAAGCAACTGTACCGATCTCCGGTCTGTCTACCCACGCTGTGTTTAGATCTTAGACAGACAGGACCAGCAGGGATTGGGGCCGATACAAGTTGAGTCCGACGGGGGGTGGCAAAACACAAATAAAAGAGAAAATAAACTCACGAGACAAAAAAAGATTGCTGATGAAAAAAAAAGGGTAACAACCTTTTATATCTTAATGTCCGTTACATAAAAACAAAATTGTTCTCATTTCCCAACCCGCTCTGTGGACTATGGCACCAAGCTTCTATCACACAACCTAAAGATTTCGAATTGCCTACTCTTTAGAATTGTGTATGTCGGAGTGTGGTTTGGTTCGACACTGGGGCTAATTTCTATCGATCATTCGCAGTTGATTCTTCTCTTCGACTTGAGTTGTATTTCTTCTTCTTCGTCGACTTAGGCTGGAAGTTCTCTTGTCTTCGACTTGGGCTGGAAGTTCTCTTGTCTTCGACTCAGCCGCAACTCTCTGTCGTCCGAGGTGATCTCTTCTCGCTGCCGTCCGGGGCTGAACTTCTGTCTTCGACTTGGGCTGGAAGGATTTCTTGTTTCGAGGATTCTTTTGCCCGCAAAGGGGCGAGTGAGTCGGGCCTGATGCCCGCGTTCAGGCTCTTTCCCTGCCCGCGGTCCAGCTGCAACTCTCAACTCCAACTGATTTCTGTCGACTGGGGTCCTGCTTTTATTGACGCCGCAACAAACTGGGGTGGGTCTGTCGGCGTCAGGGTTTTCTCGATAATTCCAAAAGTCGCATTATTTTTTGACTTCCCATTATCGCTATTGTTTTCACCCCTACTTCCTCACAGTGCCTTTTGTGGGGAGGTGCACACCCATCTCTCTTAGTCTCTTGTATGTCAGGTGACCGTTTTTCGACCAATGGTTCCTGATCGGGCATTTCTTTCTCCTCTTTTCTGCAGATCACGTGACCGTTTCCGACCAATTGTTATTGATCGAGCATCCTTTCTCCTCCTTTCGGGCGTGGTTACATCGTTCTTGTTTTTAAAAAAACAAAATCCAATTTTGCCTTTTTCGCACGTACGAAAAATGATAATCTTGGCTTTTTCTCACCTGGGTTTTTGTCAACACAGCCTGCCGCTAATTAGTTGTGACTTCAGGAAAGAATATTGTCGCCATCTGTGATCTGAGACAATCGTTTTTTTTCACCTCTTGTTTTTGTCAGACCCGGCAGTCAGAAAATCTTAATTTATCTGAATTGAAAACATCTTTCACTCGTCAATGTGGGGGTTCTAATTTTAACAGGTCAGAATCTGTATACCGTTCCACCGGTCACTCCCCTCAACCAAAAAAGCACTTTTCTCTGATTAAGATTTCGTTTTCATTGTTCCCAAAATTTCCCTTTATCCAAATTGATAAGGTGTCTTTCTACGCAAAAGTAGGCTAGATGCTTTGACCGATATCTGGTTTTCATCAAGCGGCCCGTTTTGATATCATGTCTTTTCCCTTTCTTTCTTTTTATTATTTCTAATTCTATTATTCCAATTGTCTTTAAAAAATTCAGTCAACATGCTAGCTAAGATATCTTTCTGACTCGTGTTTTTGTTAATGACCGCTTTTTTGTATTTCTCGACCTCTCTCTTTCCCCTTCCTTCTTCTTCCCTTAGGATCGTCCAAGTACAATCTTAGTGAATTATTTTCAACTCAATTATTTTCCGTTTTAAAAAAAATCAACAACCTGTTTAGTAAACCGAGTAAGAAAAAATTAAATCATATTTCTATGAATATTTCTAATAATGCAAGGTGCCACAGAACGAAAGCAGAATTGTAGGTTGAATTACAATGAAGGCAGTATAAAAAGGATCAGCAGAGAGAAGTGGAATACGAATAGGAAAGACAGAAAGTGAAAGAGAGAGAGAGAGAGAGAGAGAGAGAGAGGAGAGGGAGGGAGAGAAAGAAAAGAACGAATAAGAAAACAAGCGATAAGGAGATAAGAAGACGCATTTCTCTACAAGCGTCATGCATGATAAGAGAGAAAAGAGAGAAAAATAACAATGTATAAGTGAAAATTGTGCATGAGAAGGGAAAGCGGCAAAATGTGAGAAGGGCTTAATATATTTAAAGAGGAATTCAAATACACTGTTTACTTTAGTAAGATTTGGAAAAAAAAACTGACAAATCCGTTTATCTAAATTTTAATAACTTTTTTATTTCAGAGTTTCAACGATTTCTATTGGAATGTCATGAATAATAGCTTATTGCAATCTTATATTTTACCTGTTTTGTGCATCATGGCAAACATAATTTAACTATTCAATTTGAAATTGCAAACCAGCAAAAGACAGTTTAGCATATTTCTAAATTGCAACTAGTTTGCAGATCAATCCAATTTGTTAAACTGTAAACAGCCACGTATATAAGAGAAAACTATTATGCTTATCAAAAGCAAATAAATCCAATCTATAATAGTATTTTGATCTATTCATCGGCCAGGCAGTCCAATATACCCAACTTGCTAACGAAAAAAGTTTTAGGCAAATAGATAGAAAAACAGTTGCAACAAGCGCGCAAAAATAGACCGTGAAAGACGGACATTGCTGAGAGCAGCAAAACGAGGAAGCTGTAGAAAGCCACAAGCCACATCGTGAAGGAACATATTGAAGACAGATAAGTGGGTTAAGTTGGTAAATACATAATTTTCTGGTATGCAACAGTAGAGGTGTCGGAAAAGATATTTATAGGGTTTTGAATCTGGATTTGTGGTTCATCCAATGAGAGACAACGTCACAAGCAATGGTCTACGAGCGAATTATTTTAAACAACCTCTCTGGTTTTAGTTGTTGATAAGAAATGTTTTTCGAAGACATATTATGCTTAGCAAAAGTGTTTCCAAAATGAAACAAATTTGAAAAAGAATATAACAAAGGTAAAAGAAATAGGTTAGGATGATGTATACAAGAGTTTAAATCTTTTGTTTAAATGAAAATCAGAAAATGTAATGCTTTCAGGAGATGGTCCCACTCAATCTAATTAACAGCAATGTTCAAAAGTTGGTTCAAGCAATAATAATCAATAGAGTATTCCTTGTATTAATAGCCATCATTTCTTTAGACAAAATAATTTTAGTTATATCCATGTATCAATTTGAGTATTGTTAATAATCCCATTATTCCCCACTCACTCTGTTTGTCGACCTTGTCTTAAGGCGAATATATGCATAAACGAACGAAGAACTACATTTACATTATGAGAATTAAATTTCTGCGCCGCTGATTTTCACATTTTAATTCTAGCATTATCTCAGAATATGCAAACCGTGGAAGCAAACGCGCAGTATGTTTGCCTTTTTCTGCGAGTCACCGCCTGCGTTTGTACGTGGATGTTTTGCATTTCGATTTATGTATTAAATCCTTTTAATTGGATATATTTATGAGAAAAAAATTAAATATCCAAGAATATTAATTTGAAATGCATTTCTGTGTAAATGTACTGCTCAGATACAGACAGAGAGAAATAGACAGACAGACTGATAGTGAGAAATAGACATACAGTGAACGACAGTCACACTGACAGATAGTGAGGGACAAAGTGTAATAGACAGAGAGAGGGCAACTGATCCAACTTAACGAAACAATTTACGTTTGTTAATCGAATATCACAATCTTTTCATTTGAAAAGAAAAAGACCACAAACTCTTTCAAAATTTACAAGTCTTGTAATCTGCAGAATCATGATTCTTATTTTCATAGTGAATTCATTTTGACAATTTAGTACAATCATCTTTGTCCTCTATTACTGCGAATCATCCGACAATAATACTGTCTTTAGAATTGGGTTTTAAGGGTCAGCTAATCGAATAAAATCTTTCATAAGAACTATAAAGCATAGAACTATAATGCATTAGAATCAGACGCAGGATGCAAATGAATTTTATGTTTTAAAATTTTATCTTTATGCTTTATTATATATATATATATATATATATATATATATATATATAGATAGATAGATAGATAAAGTCATCGAAAAAGCTATAAAATTATTATACTCATTCACTTAGTTATTCATAGGTTTGATCATAAGTTCGAGAAAGTAATTTATTAAGGTGAAATTGTATTTAAATGACCATAATTTCTAGAATTTTATAAGAATCTTCTAGGTTAATTTTACGTTAGATCTATGTTAATATTATTAACATGTCTCGTTTCCTAAAAAACTACTGCTCAAAATAGGATTAAAAAAATAAAAACGAACGATAAAAAGATTAAAGCGATCAACATCTGAATGATATGTGCAAACTATTTAAACTATTTACACTTTTCGGACTATTGTCCTAATCTTTATTGTCATATTCATGATATTTCAGCCTTTGTATTTTCCAGTCTTCTTCAGGTGATATACGCTGGAATTTCCGACCAAATCCTTTATTTAGGCCACTGGAATATATTTTTCTAGTTTCAGCTGAAACTAACATATACAGAAAAGGCATGGAACGTGGAACTAAAACAATCTAACCCAGTAGACTAAATAAAGGCTTCGAATGGGAATTTCAACGTATATCACCTGAAGATGGCCGAAGTGTATAACGGCAAAAACATCGTGGATATGAAAATAAAGATGAGCACAACAATCCAAACAATGTAAATATTTACAATACCTTATCTCAGAAATATAGACAGAGGTGAGCTAAATATAATACTTATATTCATCAAGCGTCAAAATTAAAATTAAAAAAAAAATTCGATGACAGCTGTAAGAGACGTTAGTTGTATTTCTAATCCCGCCTTCTCGCTTTTCTGAATGAGCCAGTTAACAAAATACTTTTTACCACCGTCTCTGCAACCTTACATAGAGTTTGCCAAACATTTTTTGTAGTGATACGTTGTCTTGTAATGTTACATTAATAGAATAATGAAGAAAATATTTTAACAAGTACATGCTTTAATTTGAATTAATGATTCGTAATTTAAAATATAGGAAAATAAATTTTATATTTTCTGTATATATTGGTAAGTGAAGAAAAAGCATTCTGATGTTATCATTGACCAGTGACAATTTTACCGCTATAGCACGTTAGCAACGTTACTATAATGTTGGGAAAGGGTTGGGGATGGGCGGTTAGTTTGTGTTTAGGAAAATAGTTGATTAAAAACGATAAAGGCGCCACAACGTTACAAATCTCCTAACCGAAAATATAACTTATTTTCAACATTGCAAGAACCTTCTGTGTTAACTGAATAACCAAGTGTTTATAGTTTTTCATTTTGCCACTCACTTAACAACTATTAATCTGATATATCTTTTTATATTTATGCGTGTACATGATTTCTTGTGTGTATGTTTGCTTGTAACTGAGAATAAGAGAGAAAAATAAAAGATCACATAGGTGAGGTTTCCTACTACACGACGTGTACTTGTTAAAATATTAATCGATGAAAGTAAGGAAAAAAAAAACTCTGAGAGAACTCTGTATATAAATGGATGCGACTGGCTATTTGTGCATGGTATTCCACTCTCACCATCTGCCAATCATTGATACTTTCCAACCAGCCGTAAAATGCGAGAATGAAAAGAAATTCCCTGCTTTTTAGATCTTCCATCATCAGTTGCCATTTCACTGCTTATGTTGTTTGCTTGGCCGACATCTGCTGATTTCTTGCATTTCCTCTCAGAGAGCCGAAAAGAAAATTCTAGCACGTCTCTTCTAGCCTTTCTTCATGTTAAAAACAAACATAAAATACGATCAACCTGCCAGTTTTTGTTCAAGAATACAAACATTATCATTTGGAATTGTTGTTTGGGAATCGAATTTCTGTCTTTCAGGTTCTTTAACGATTGTTGCGTAAAACGGTAAATCTTTTGATTCCTTTTCAGTTATTAACTTTGAAATATTTACTCTCTTTCTTAAAAATAGTTTTGCCATTAAATTTAATGATTTATATTAATATTTATACTTAATAATAATAATAAACAGAAATAGAAGACGTAGAAATAACGGAAAATCTTTTAGTGAGCTCGAATTAGAAGCGAAAACTTCATTGTTTTTTAATTCATTTTCTTTGGTGTCTCGTTCAAGTGGATTTATTTTAATCACTCAAAGAATGAACGATTTCAGCATACTTCGCTATATGAACTGAATTAATAAATATTCAAAATAATCTTTTCAAAACAAATTTGTACTGAACGATTAACCATGAAATCATTGTTAAATGTTGTGATTAAATATTTTTAGATTGTTAGAATTTGCTTTTAAATAATAATGATTTACTGATACGTCCTACTAATTAACCCATAGGTGGGGGTGAAGAGGTGAATTCCTACCTTTCCCTTTTTTGGAGATAATAATAAGTTACTGATACAATTCCTACTAATTAATCCATAGCTGGTGGGAGAAGCTGTGAATTTAGAATTTTCCTAAGAGTAAATGAATATAATGAAACCGACGTGAATTGAAACTCGGATCTCTGATCTCCATCTTTAAGCCGTTATCCATTACACCACTCGCACATCTAAGCTTACAACACTCTTCCCAAAAGGTCACTCATTTAGGCTCGATGTTGCTTAACTTCAGTGATCGTACATGATATGACCAGAATTCCCTTTAATCAGGAATAGTTTCATATTTCAAATGCTTTTCATTGCATTTTTATTCTAAAGAGGGGAAAAAACAACAATAATATATCAGTGAGACATAAACACGCAATTCTTTTGATTTTGGAAGCTTATTTACCACGATAACTGCTATTATCAAGTAAGCTACGAGATATTTACAGTTGATAGGTCAGGAAATCTAACCATAGAAACTCATTACTTATTTTTCCCCGATGTCACCAAATTTGATGTTATTTTTATTTATATACGTTTCTAACTGAAATTACAATGGAATAAATATCATAATGTTCTACAATACTTCATGCAATGAAATTTCAAGCATGGAAGTCGTTAAAACTGTTGATGATTTTACGTTTGTTTGGTCTGGAGGTTTTATGCTCATTCGATTAATCGAAATCTTACAATAGACTAGCTTAGTGTTACTGACTGTTTTAAGTTATCACTGATGTAAAAGCTATCAGTAACTAGAGAAAATTGCTATTTCCTTTTCTGTCTAATTTTCACGCTCATCTCAGCGACAATCGATGGATGAAACGAGATGAAAATCTCAAAATGACAATTCTTATTGACTCTAAATGCAGCTATTTTGAACGAGCTCTACCTCAGAGTTCCTTTACTTGTTGAAGTCACGACGTACAAGTCACGCAAAGAGAATAAGCTGAGACTAACCGACAGTTGGATTTGAAATGCATCAAAGCTACTAACCTAACTTTTGTAATCACGGATCCTTAATGATAAAAGAAAAGAACAGATCGATTTATAAAAAAAAGTGGCCTTATATCATATCTCTTCGCATTTTCTGATAAATATATGCAAATGCATATAATTAACAGAAAATGTAAAGAGAAAGACTTGACAATTGAAAAAGTAAACATGAATACCTATTACATCAATGTTTTATTAATTTGGTTTTAGTTTGAGTGCAGAAGGTTTTTCATTTGAAAAACTAACGTAAATATTGATCTAATATTTCATAACAAAATTAGAGAAACGATAACTTTTCGGAGCTAAATTAACGGAGAACATTTTCTCTTGAAGCCTAAAAGTTGAAATGTGTCGGTCTCAGAGTTAAGAATTAAAAGCGGTATGTTAAAAGTATAACAGCTTTATAAATAATCATATATATATATGTGGGTGCGATGTCGTCTAAATTACGCAAAAATGAAAATAACACTGACATCTCATTTTAACAGATTTATTGACCAAAATTACACAAAAATATCTTGAAATACTAAAGAGTAAATTTATTTATTTAATAAAATCGCCATTGGCTTCAACCACAGCCTCCAGACGACTTCGGAATCTCCTGCGACTCTTCTGAACGGTCTCCTTTTCTTAAGTTGGTGAATGCTGCCATAATCCTTGCCTTCAGTTTGTCTTTGCTGTTACAAGGAGTTTTGTTGGTCTCTCACTCGACTTCTCCTCACACATAATAATCAAGGGGGTTGCAGACTTGGTAGTTAGGTGGCCAAATGAAAGGGATGATGTGATCGCAGAAATTATCCAACAGCCATGACTGGTTTTCTCCTGCTTGTGTGGCATGGTGCAGAATGTTGTAACCAGAAATAGGGTCTTCCAGCAGTCACCCTCTTGACTCAGGGCAGTACTATCTCCTCAAAGAACTTGATGTAGGCTTTTGTGTTGGGTTTGGGGCCCTGTAGGAAGATGAATGAAGGCATAATGTCGCTATCACTAGTGATCATTACAGACACCATGATGTTGACTAGATATATCATCTATTTCCGAATCCACTGCACTGTTAAACACCCGAACACTCTGAAAGGTTCGTATTCGAGATCAGGTGCGAATGCCAAACAGTACAGCATGTCGTTTCCAAATTTCTGGTGGAGTTTAATTGCGTTATGGTGTTCTTTTCCTTACAGACTGTGCCCAACTGACCGTAGTATAGTGTGCAGTCGACAAAATAAAAAAAACAATCAATGCGCATGTGCGAGAGTAAATATATAAAATGACGACAATTTACCCATCGCACAGGCGCGTTTTTGCTATTAAGAAAAACTTGCATTTTGTTATAATCGCATGTTTTCAAAAAAAGAGAAAAAAAGTGTACATACCTAATAAATAAATAAAACCTATATATCATATATCCATAGTTTATCTATCGAGTGAAGAGCCGAGCTCTTAATATGAAAACAGTAAAGGGTGAAGAAAAAGTTTAAAAAAATAAACAACAAATAGGAAAGAAATGCATAAATACAAACAGATCGAAAGACCAGACAGATAACAATAATGATATCTCTACTTCAGCTCTCTTTGAATATAATAATCCCATTATCAATATAAATGTACAAAAAATGTTTTATATTTTGAATAGGTAATTCTTCTTCACCCGAATTCCAGTGGCTGATATCTCATCACTTCTAAATAGCACAATCCCTTGATATCTTTATCCTTGAGGATGTTGTTTTCCAGATATTTCCACGTCAACATGACCACTGTGTAGTAGATGTTTGCTGTTTTGCTTGTTTGCTACTGGCGACAATTGCCACTTAAAAAATCCTTTTAAAACCACAGTTATAAAGGAAAGCACAAGAAAAAACGCATAAGTTTGTTAACAGATTCATTTGCCCGCGTCAATTTATTTCAAAATAAAACTTTAAAAGTGGGTGGATAAACTAATAAAATATTTTTTATTGATATTTATTGCGTAGTTAAAATGGATGTATGCAGATCAATTGAAAGTGGCGTTGCTTAGCTGAGGTTTAGTCAAGATCATTAGTAGAAGCTATTCACTATTAATGGTCATCAATATTACGTCGCTAAACATTACCGAACGTCGAGGTGGCATAAAGTGGAAGTGTTGCTGATGGACAAGTAAACAGATCCTTAGAGACTAGACATCAACATTACTAAAGATAATTCGTTATTTAGTAAGCTATTTATGAAGATTGCACAATCTTTTGCTTTCATTCAATTTTCTTCATTCTTTGCTTTCATTTTACCTTTTCATTCTTTCATTTTTCTTTTTCATTCTTTCATTTCATTTCAGTCACTGCTTTTCTTTATTGCCCATTATTTATTTCCATTTGCTTCAATCTTTGAATTCATTTTGCTTCATTCTTTTTTGCTTTCATTTCTATTCATTTTTATTTCATTTGTTTTTCTTTATTTTCACTCATCCTCCCTTTTTCTTTGCATTCAAATCATTTCCTTTTATTCTTTTGACTTGTTTTTCTTAATTCTTTGTTTGCTTGATTTTTCGTCATTCTTAATTTCACTCTTTTCTTCATTCTTTTTCATTAACTATTTTAATTTCTTTTTTAATTCATTCTTTAGTTTATTTTTTGCCAATGTTTTCTTTCATTGTTTTCATTCACGCTTAATTTTTTGCTTTCATTTCATATTCTTCAATATTTGCTCCACTTATTTTCCATCTTTGCTTTTATTCCTTTTCCATTCTTTGCTTTCAATTTGTTTTCATTCATTTTTCTTCTTCATTGCTTTCTTTTTAGTTTTTATTGATTCTTTGTCTTCAGTGTATTTCATTCTTTACTTCATTATTTTCATTTTTCATTATCTATATTGGATATTTCTCTTTATTTCTATATTATTATCACCCGCTAATATTAATATTATTTGATTGATTCTTTTAAACACTACTTTATACAATTTTAATGTTAAATATTTGAAAACCAGGCACAAGAGGCGTAACTGACAGAACAGCGAACTGATAGGGCAGCTTGATGAAAAAGGAACTCTCAATTGTCCCACTATGACAAGCTGAACAGATAACACCGAGTGTATAGCTAGAATAATTTTTGGGGAGAATGACAATTTGCTAGACAGTCTGGAGTCTGTATGATTCACTTCTATAATTAAAATCAGTGCAGTCCTTCAAGAAGAAAAATGAACAACAACTATCGATAATCAAAACAGTAGTGTTTATTGGGAATTAATGGTAATAACAGCACCAGTCTGGTTATCTTTACTGAATTTTATGTCCGTTTATGCATTACTATTTCTTGCTACTCAAAAAAAGGCAATGAAAAAAAAATCCGGGGAAAATTTCAGTGAAAATAATTTATGAAATATTTATGCAAAATTATTTATCTATGTAAATTAATATTAGAAAGCAAAATGTAAAATTCTACTGATATTTTTGGTTGAAAATCGTTACAACTGGTAATTGCTGTGTTCTTGTTTTATTTCTCGGGTTTCTTTCTTGAATGTAAAATCTGCGATCCATTCTCAATGCACACGGACTTATATACACGTATTCTCTTGAAAGATCTGCCGAAAATGTTTATGCAAATAATAAAAACAAATGAATTGTCTTAAGCCATATAGGTCGACCAATCAGATGTAATACAAACGATTTGTATACCTGCCTATTTCCATCCCTGACATTGAACGGGATCTCATCATTTTTAAAAAATGTACTTGATAATCGTTAATCTTTTCAGATGTAAGTCGACTCATTTTCCCCGTGCATGGGAGAGCTGCATATTCACTTACTATGCATATAACAGCACTTAAGAAAACCAAGCAAAGTTGAGGTAAAGACAATATGATCTATTATTCTTTTCTTCCATCTATGATTTTTGAGTGGCATGAACCGCTTTAAGTTGAACTTATTAATGTAGTTTAAACTTTTCTATTAATACAGCTGTTCCAGACCATCAGGTTATCACATATATATTGATCGAATTTAGAACAAGATAAATGGCACGTGTTAATTCGTGTTAATTTGAAATTATATATTAACATATGAACCATCCTTTCTAATAACATCTTTCTGTTCATAAGTTTTTTGCAAAAAAGATTCTTGGTATGAAGAAAAGTAATGTAGATGAAGAGGTGAAAACTAATGCTAAAAATGGTCTAAGAAGATGTTTATATAAACACCGGAATTGGTGGTTATCATGTGGAACAATATCTGTAGTATAAGGACACTTTGGGTTTATGTTTGCCAGCTGAAGTGTTCAGTCTTTCAGTTGAAATTTTTGATCTATGAGACCACGTACTATCATGAAGGAAAAAAGTTCAACTGATTTGTAAAAAAATTGTTGCCCTGCAAGACAATAATTGGTTTTCAGCAATGTTGAGTTAGATGGTAGGCGATAATGTACCTTCCGTATGAACGATAGGACATAAGATTTCCTAGAACATTTTTCTCACAATCAGTACACTGCTCACAGTGGTTTACAACAACTTGGAAAGAAATAGAAAAACAAGCCCTCATCTTTTTGACAGGAGATAATCATAAAGCAAAAGTGTTTTTTTTATTAGCAATGGCTTATTTGGCCATTTTTGACAGATTAGTGACTGTTGATAAAATGGACATTTTACAAGAAAATAAAATGACACATACAAACTCTTCATGAAGACGAACAAACAAAAACAATGCAATCTGAAGTTTTATAAATATAATGCCTTGTTTGGTGTGATTGCGTTGTGTGGATTTATTTGGAGTTTCTAGCAGTCAGTGTGAGAATTGCAGCAGGCATCTCCTGTCAACAGTTTAAGTATTTTCATTCTGTTTTGAAGCAAAAGATACTCAGATTGGTTAATCGCAATAATGTGATGTTTCATTCATACCAAACAAGTCGGTTGCTTATCATTTATTTTATATTTACTTATTTATTTACTAGATTTTCATGTGAGTTGTGAATTTGCGCAAGCTACTTTTTATAGATAGATTGTTTGATGACATCAGTTTAAAGTATTACTAATCGTTCTCGTACGAACACCGAATTTAGACAATGTCGAGCTTGGTCAGTGACCACTTGGGTAAACAAGGTACTTGGATGTGCTGGTGGGGTAAATGTGTAAAATCCTGTTATATTCACTTATGCGCAAACGTCCATGGGAAAAGTCTGAATCCATTTTTTTCTCCCGTGTCTACAGGTCAATTAGTAGGACGAGTATTAGTAAAATCATTATTATCTCAAAATACTTACAGTCTAAAAAAATTTTCTGGCGTTAAATAACCTGTAAATGGTTGATAATTCGTAAACACCAAAAACAATCATATTCTATTTTCAATATCCTTTGTTCGTTTACGAGCAATTATAAAGACTTCATTGCTTTTGTTAACGGTCATTGACACAACATAATGTTGTCTCCTGGAATCACAAACTGATGGAAGCTATTTATAGAAAGGTAAATGTTACTTCCTCAGATTATGATACTTTTGTCAATAAATTCATGTGTGCAAAAGCGTCACATTTGCTTTATCTAATGTTAATTCTATTGTTGAGCTTTGTCTTTGAGCTTTGTTATTATTATTATTATTATTATTATTATTATTATTATTATTATTATTTTCTCAGATAAGATTTTAATATCTAGTAATTAATGCATAGATATCGAGTCACATCCAGTAGTCTTAGGTATGGAATTTTCCTCTGATTTCAGATTATTCTGGTTCTTCCTAAGAGGTTTCTTCTCTGCAAGAATTACTCTGGAAATCAATTACGTTGTTATTTCCCGTTTCGAATTATTTAGTTTGTAATGAAAATATTTCTTTCCCATATTTTACAGTAATAATGATGATAGTATAGAAATACAAGAATCTGAAAAAGAGATTGGATATGAAGGTTGAAACTGTACTTAAAATAGTAAACACATTTACAACCGGGTCAAGAATACTGTAATTGAATTTAGATGAATTGTAAATCCGAGAAATGATCGAGACTGTATACATCACTGCAAGGATCTGCAATGCTGTTGAGAAACCTGCTGAAGATTTGATGAGACATGCATCACTCGATATTAAGCGGTAACTACTAGTTCGCTTGCGTGAAAATGCAAATTCATGAAATAATAAAAGATGCCAAACTAATCCTTTGGAATTTATGTGAGAAGTGAGGTGTTCAGCAAGAAATTATATATATATATATATATATATATATATATATATATATATATATATATATATATATATATATATATATATATATATAGAGAAAGTCTTTGAGCTAACAAGATTTTGTAAAATTTTCAATCTAAGCAGAAACTGGGGTCGTTGTCTAAAAGTGCCGTAAGTGATGCACCCATGGGTCCGAAATCAGAGAGCTCCACGGTGGCGTACATTGTCGCAGTCTTGTGTTTGTTCAAGCCATTATACTAAATTCGAGGAGTCCATTATTTTTATATCCAGGGTATGACGATAAACTACATCCGACAGCAAGTCTCTTGATCTTATTTTGTTGTTAGGGTCCCAGCTATGGAAAATATTACCCCCCCCAAACTGAGGTCGAAACATGAAAATATAAAAATACATTAGAAAAATATTACCAAATAAATTACCAAAGCTCACAAGAAAATAACATTTCGCCATTAAAGGTTATTTAAGGCGTTATGTCGTTAAACAAGCCAAAGGAAATCAATTATTTTCAGTTGCGGCTCGAAGTAGAATTTAGAAGTTCCTTTCATTGAGATGACATGCAAAGTGGATTTGTTTTTGAAGTTAGCTTCTAGCCTTTGCCCAAAGAAGCAGGACCTGCAAGGCAATGGGATTGTTTTAATTCAGAATGTTCCTTCTCCTAAACTAGTTGCCAATCAAGGCTATAGGGCACAGTCTGTTCCCATAGTTGAGGGAAAAGATGGATTCATACCTTTTGCAAGGGTAAGTGAATGCAGTGAACTCGACTAGAATTCGAACTCTGCATTACTCCTTCGGAGCACAGTAACCCGGGCTTAAAGGAAGATAAGACAGATAATGAAGTGTTAATCATTGATCCATCGTTTCTTTTTTACACCAATTAGCAACCAACTTCATAGAAATTTGAACTCTCAATGTTCTGGAAATTGAAAAAAGTAAAAATTCCATTTGTCATTAGTAACTTTGGTACGGGTGCCTGATAGAATATAGACATAAATAAAGAAAATTGGCATTGATTGTCCAGAGTAATTCTTGCAGAGAAAAACAACTCTTAGGAAGAGCCAGAATAATCCGAAATGTGATGAAAAATCAGAGGAAAATTCCACACCTAAGACTACTGGATGTGACTCAATATCTATGCATTAATTACTAGATATGAAGAACTTATCTGAGAAAAAAAAATAATAATAATCTTTTTCTTCATGGTTAGATTTTATTCTTTCTTCAATATGCATCCCGATTCCTACATCCGTAGTTTTTCAAGAGGTTAAATGAAACCGTTTACATAAGAAATCATTTTCAGGATTTTCTTATCAAAACGTTTGAATGATTAATCTATCAGTCTTGCAAAGATTTTATGTTTCATTTTTATACACTTTATGATGATGTCGAAGTTCTCAGTTTTAAGGCAATTAATCTTATTCTGTTTTTAAATCTAAATTCTGCTAAAGATGAATAAATAATATTGCATGGTATCGCGATCATGCAATCCTTGATATTAACCGCTATATTGAAACAGTTTTCACAAAGTAGAGAAATAAAATTTTTTACGCTTTATGAACATAGCAAAACAACCTTGACAATTTTCAAAATATGCAGGACATTAGAATACAAGTATAATATGCGCATTTTAAATTGCTTTTGAAATGATTTTATCTTATGCTCTTCATTCTTGGATTTTGGAAATGGCAAAGTTGAGAATTTCCATTCTATTTTCTGTGAAAGATATTTAATAAATTCCTTAAAATGGGTTT